TGTCACTGGCGGCTGTGAGGAGGAACGCTCCGTTCCTTCTCACAGCTACTGCTGAGTTGGTGACAACCAGCAGCTTCACAGGAGGTGGCTGGGCCCGTCATTGGCAGTGATAGAGGAGGCGGGGCCCGGCGATCAAGGGGGCGGGGCCCGGCGATCTAGGGGACGGGGCCCGGCGATAGAGGGGATGGGGCCCGGCGATCGAAAGGGTGAGGCCCAGTGACGGAGGAGTCGATCGTGGAGGAGAAGGAGGCGGGCAGAGGATCAGGGCTGACAGGTAAGAGGGCTTGACCGCCCACCTGAGACCCTGCAGAGTCCACCATGGAGCATCTATGGTGGGCTCTGCAGGGTCACCCTTAGGTGGGCTGTTTGGGTTATCAGGTGGGCGTAACTAGAAATCACAGGGCCCCATACAAAATTTTGCTATGGGGCCCTGTGATTTCTAGTTACGCCCCTGTTGACCAGGAATGATTTCTGCCCTGTCAGTGCACTGTAATTACAATAGGAATGCGCAATTAGGAGAGAGCAGCAGGGGAAAAGCTCATGGTGTAGGTTTCTGTGATCTCACTGGCATATGTATTCTTCATGTACAGTATGTGAATACTCCGGGGTGGATGTAAAATGGTTGATTTAATGTCTTGCTTGTATTATCTGTTTTGATAGGGATATTACGATACAATGGATGCAGGATATGTGGATGAAGATGGCTATGTATATGTCATGTCCCGGGTTGATGATGTCATCAATGTAGCAGGTCATAGGCTTTCTGCAGGAGCAATAGAAGAGGTAATGTCAAAGTACCATTAAATGTATCTGTTGGTGGTTCTTATGCAGGTTTTTGGTAGAAATTCTACAATGCAGGTTTTTGGTAGAAATTCTACAATACAATGTTTGTGCAATCTTGCCTGTTAGGCCAGGCCTGGCAAGGCAGGAAAGAGGGGGTCGAGCGAGCATCCCCCCTTCCTGCCATACCAGGCTCCATGCCCTCAGCACTGGGAGGGTGCTTTTCCAGGGTCGCCCCTGGAAAAGCACCTTGTCCCTGTGCCGGTGGAGACAAGGGCCTCTTCCCCACAAGGCCTGGGGCATTGGTTGTAGGAATGCGGGCAGAGGGGCTTACTCACATCAGGGTACCTCTTTAATAAAGGGGCACCCAGATGTGCCCCAGCCTTGTGAATGAGTAAGGGTTACTTGTACCCCTACCCCTTCACTAAAGTGTTAAAATAAATTTAAATAAAAAGTCCGGACCTTTATTAAAAAATCCTTTAAAATAAAAACAGAAGTCCTTTATTGTTTAAAAAAAAACGCTGATAACGACTCGACTAAATAAAAAAATAAAACAAGAAAAAACAAATAGAAATAATATTTTTTTTTAAAACAACGCCCGGCGACCTTTCGGCTTGTGACGAACTACCACCACAGAATGGCATTCAAAATATAACAATTGGGCGGTGCCAGCTAGCTAGCTCAGCCCAACTGTTTACATTTGTACGGCAGGTGAGCCATGATTGGGCAAAGTCATCATTACTTTGCCCAATCATGGCTCTTGAGTGCACTTCATTCTGCTTGTGTGAAGGGGAGGGGTAACTACCCACTGTGGAAACAATATATCTTCTGTATATCTTCCTACTACAAGCAATACATCACTTCCCTTTTACAGTGTCTCACTCCTCTCTATAGTATGTAGTAGTGCCCTAGGTTTCAATTGCACTCACATTGATACTTTCAACTGTTAACAAAGCATTTTATATTTATACAATTTAACCTAACTTTAGTAGTCAGTGTCTGTTTGTATACCAGAGAGGGTCTATTGGATTAAAAACAGTTTTTCTAAGGGTGTGAAACATCCACTATGCTCCTAGTAGGCAGAGATTGTGTGGCTTAGATCATGTGATGGAGCTTATGAGCAGCATATATTTATTTTCTTAATTTGTGATATCTGCAATATATGTGAAGTGATTTTTCTATTTGTTTTTTTATGATGGGCCCAGTTTATTTATTTTTCTTTTAACATTGCAGGCTGTGTTATTGCACAAGTCTGTGGTAGACTGTGCTGTGGTAGGCTTGGAGGATCCCTTGAAAGGACATGTTCCACTGGCACTTTGTGTGCTTCGAAATGGTAAGAAGTCCTTTCTCCTGACTGTACCATGTGTATTTTGTGTGTGTCATGCTAAAGTTTCATTTAATATACATATCCACTGCATAGTGCATGTGGGACAAGATCTATATAGAAGATTTGCAGAATGTGCTTGTTTCTGCAAAAAGAGAGCAGTTGTAACTACCAACCCACCTAAGCAATGGCTGAAGGTCTTCCGCTGTATTATTTTTCTGTTTGTGCCTCGGTCAACCAAATTGGAAATCATATGACGAGTAGTGTATAGGTATATTTAGACTACAAATTTGTTTTACAAATTGCTCAGCCAGTCAACTGAAATGTTATATTTGCCCCTTTTTTACTCTTGTTCAAAATAAACCATCAAATGGCTGTTTCTTAATTGTTTCAGGAGTGGACACTGCAGAAGAGAAACTGGCAGAAGAAATAGTGTTAATAGTCCGAGAACATATTGGGCCAGTAGCAGCTTTCCGGAAAGTGATCATTGTAAAGCTGCTACCTAAAACACGTTCTGGCAAGATCCCTCGCGCCACGTTGTCTTCGCTTGTAAATTGCAAGCCATACAAGGTAAACAGTTGGGGATATTGTGCAAATATGTGGTTGATGAGCAAAACAATAACTGCAGAATAGTCTAATGGTAAATGTGTTTCGCAAGTAAAGCATGCTGACAAATAGAAATCTTGATACAGTTCAACACCAAGTAGTTTACAAATGCAGGAACGGCCCACATTTGGCAATAGTGTTTCTAGGTTACAGATTGTGCACTTCCGTAACTACTAGTCCTCCATGGAAATAAAACCAGCCATGCAGACTAATTTATGATGACTGAAGCAAACCTTTTCCATTCAAACTACTTCTAGTAGTGCTATACTTTGACAAAACAAACTTAAGTAAAGTGCATCACTGCTTTCTACTGGCTAGAGATGATGCTTTTCAGTTAAAACTATGTCATAGACTTATTAATTGCATATATAATATTGTGTTGAATCTTAGGAAAATAAAAATTATGGCATCCGTGCAGGTAGAATATTAATTTTCAAGCCAGTTGACACCTTTTTATTACCTTTTTACTCCCACGTTATTTGACTGATTTTTGTTAGGAAATGCCACAGAATACCTTTTTCCCTTAGTAAAAGTGTTGCTTGCAGTGCTCTATGTAGGCAGAGCTGAGTAACAGGCAAACCCCTCACCATCCATGTCCTCAAACACAGGAGAAGCTGCCATTTCACCTCAGGGATGAGTTCTTAGGAGGCATGTGGGGTGTGAAAGCAGAATTGGGCACCATTCACTTTAAGAATTTTATAATGCTTTATTCCATGAACAACAAAACAGGGAAAGAGGGTTAGGGCTGCACACATCTAGGATAACACAGAACTCCAGACTTACCGAATGCTTGCCAGGTGCAATGGGCCTTTAAACCAAAAATGCGGTGACACTGTGTTAAAGATCCATAGCTGTCAGCAGACGTGTTTAAACTCTCCCCTGGGTGAGCCACCAGACTCCCTGCGAGGTCAAAGCCCATGCAGGCTTCTCCGGTACCTCCAGCAAACAAAGTTCCTGCCTGGCTCTCCATCCCAGGAATAATTCCTTACCCACACCTGACCACCAGCAGGCTTAAGCCTTGGTCAGATAGCTCACACATAACACACCCCTCCCAGGCAGGAGGCTTGGGGGAGAAAGAGGCTCTCACATGGTCCGACCCAGATATTTAATTCCTCTCCCAGCATGCACCACTGGCCATGAAACTGCTAGTGATTGGGTTGAGAGACATAGATATCCATACGATTCTATTATTGGTTGCTCTGCTCAGAGCAAGGTTACACCCAGCAGCAGGCAGATGCAATCAATAACAGAGTCCTTAGGGAAAACCGAATGAGTACAGACTATGTAATCAGCTAGACTGGATACAGTCCTAGCAAACTAATTTTAAGTAGTCACCTCGTTTAGGGCAAGGTGGCTACACTAAGATTGCAGAGAAGGGCAAGGGGGTGTGCTTGACTGGGTCTGCTACTGAGTGCAGTCATTCTAAGCCTGATGTTTGATGACTGCACAATCATATTTGTACACCCTACTCAGTTGCAGGAAAGTGAAGGTAAAGCTATAAATGATGGTTGAAAATATAATGTCTAAAAGACCAAAATCACAGAAATAGGAATCAGTTAAAGAAAAGAGAGTTTTAAAGCTGCAATCTGAAGCTCTATCTTTGTATTTTTTTCCTGATAACTGAATTCTACTCTAGAGTTTACATCTGATTTTTGTGTCTTCAATTTTGTTTCTTTTCTAGATTGGTTCAACTATTGAAGATCCAGATGTGTTTAAAGTTTTAGAAGATGTTGTAAAAGCAAAATTATAAATAGAGCAAGATATTAGTGTTTATATTGTAGAAAAACTTTATTTCCTTGTGTTTAACATCGTCTACCACAAGTGCTAGCGAAAATACAAATCAGGGAAAAGGTAACCGGGACAATATTTTTATGTGGTCATATTCCAAAATTCCATTTACAGCTACTTTTAGTTCTGACCCATTTTGTTAGGCTATATTTTCATATTAAACTTCTATTTTATATGTAAACATTTAGGTGTTGCTGCTGTTGGGTCAAGTTCTTACCAGACATTCTAGACAATTAATGTGTGTGCGAGAACTTCTACAGAATAGGCTTATGGGATGGAAAAAAGCTTGATCTGGGAGTCATGTACAGTAGTTATGCTCCTTAGCATACCTTGGTAAAAATGGCACTTTAAGACTAGGCCAAAGCAGTTGCTGAGCATTTTTAAGGTTATACGTTTGACCACCTCACTAGTAACTCCTATCCATGGTCACTGGATGGATTAGTATAACTGAATCATCTCATTCTATTGCATCATGAACTTTAAAGATGGCCCTAAACACGTGATTGATCACCTCACTAGTAAATGACCACACCACACTTATCCTTGTTTACTGGATGGATTTACATAACTAAATCATCTCATTCTAGTGCATCATGAGCTTAAAAGTTAGACCTAAACATGTGATTTATCACCTCACTAGTAACTGACAACATCACATATGTCCATGGTTACTGGATGGATTACGATAAATGAATCGACTAGGTCTAGTGAATCATAAGAACGTTCAGATTATGGAATACAACATACCTTTAGGCAATAAAACTTAAAAGTGAACTATGGGGTAAGTGCTTTTCCCCATAGATCTCTTTAGGGTCACGGGAGGACATATACTAACCATGTTAAGCTGCATAAGTGTTTGTACAAAAGAGGCAGCTGTATGCAATAGCAGCTCCATTAGAAAACTGTCTTATAGGCTGCACCAGATCCCTGAGCCAACAACACAGATCAGATGCCCTGCTTATTACACAGTGGCCTCTGGCTTGTGTGCAGCCACCTGAACAGCTTTGGTTTTTATTACTCCACAGACCCTAATGAACTGTGGGTATAGAAAAAAATGACACGCCCCCCCCCCTTTTAAATAATCACATTTTGTTGCTTTGCAGCCTGAAATGAAGATAGACACAGTTTTTGTTTTATCCAGCTGTATTTACTCGGGGCAACTTATATCCAAGTGAAAGATAAAACACCAACATGTCTGATTTTTTTTTTTTGAGGTTTTTAAAAAAAAATTCTGAGTGGATAAAGGATAACCCTTCGCATCTGTGATCAGCTGCGGTCATTTTGATAAGCTCAGCATGATATGAGCTTTCCTGGAGCATTTCGGTCCCTGGTAGTGCAACTAAAGCAATCGACTATGGGTGGCAAGGCACTGTCAAAAGATCTCCAGGATAAGGTTGTGGACAGGCACAAGTCAGGAGATACAGAAAATTTTAAAAGGCTTTATCAATGCCTAGAAGCACAGTGAAGTCTATTATTAAGAAGTGGAAGCTATTTGGTACAACACAGACCCTCCCCGGATCAGGACATCTGAATGAAAGAGCCAGGAGGAAACTGGTCAGAGAGGCTACCAAGAGGCCTACAGCAACTCTGAAGCAGTTGCAGGAATTTATGAGAGAGTGGTCATTGTGTGCATGTGACAACAATATCACACATTCTCCACAAATGTGGCTTGTAAGGGAGGGTTGCAAGAAAAAAGCCACTCCTCAAGAAAGGCCACATGCAGTCCCAACTGAGCTTTGCCAAAATGCACCTTGAAGATTCAGATGAATCTTCAAGATGAAGATTCATCTGAATCTTCAAGATGAAGATTCATCTGAATCTTCAAGATGAAGATTCATCTGAATCTTCAAGATGAAGATTCAGATGACTTGAATTGTTTGGCCCCAACACCAAACGATATGTCTGGCAGAAATCCAATACAGCTCACCTTCCAAATAACACCGGTCCTACAGTAAAGCATGGAGGTGATTATATCCTGCTATGGGGGTGTTTCCTTGCAGCAGGGACTGGTGCACTTGTCAGGATAGAAGGAAAAATGGATGGGAAAAATACTGTCAAATTCTTGAGGAAAATCTGCTGCCCTCTGCCAGAAAGTTGTCAATGGGAAGAAGGTTTACCTTCCAACATGACAATGACCCAAAGCACACAGCACTAATGACCACACAGTGGTTGAAGGAGAAAAAAGTGAATGTCCTTGCATGGCCTAGTTAGATCCCAGACTTAAACCCCATTGAAAATCTGTGTAACGACTTGAAGACTGCAGTCCACAAACGGTCACCATCAATTTTAACTGAACTTCAGCAGTTCTGCAAAGAAGAGTGGGCAAATTGTGCACAGTCTAGATGTGCAAGGTTAGTAGAGACATACCCCAACAGACTAAAGGCTGTAATTAAAGCAAAATGTGGTTCAACAAAATACACAAGGTTGTGATCCTTTTTCCAACTTTTTTCTAACATGTAGTTATATATTTCACTTGGATGCTATAAGTTGCACTGCGTAAATACAGCTGGATAAAACAAAAACAATGTCTGTCTTCATTTCAAGCTGCAAAGCAACAAAATGTGATTATTTTAAAGGGGGGGGTGATTCTTTTCTATACCCACTGTATATACTGTATGACTTGACTCACTTGACTTTTTTTGTAGAGTAACCACTATATGGACCAATTGAAAGAAAGACCATAATAATTTCTCAGGGAAAAGTTCTTGATTTTTTTGAAAAGGCACATATTGTTCTTCCAACGAGGGAACATTTTGGAAACGGAACAAAAATGGTGGCTTCTTCAGTTTGGTGGTATAATTCATGAGCCATATTAACTGTGTTTAATTTGGAGGACTGTTTTTTTTTGTCATCTATATATATTATTTTTAGAATTGTTACAATGTATCCACCTCCAAAAGTTCATATCGGCCATCAGGTGCAACTGAAAGCACAGTCAGACCCCATTCACAAGCGTTTTGTTGTATATTTCCCAAAGTGCAATAATACTCAACATGAAAAATCCCATTATTTTCAGTGATGCTCATTCACTCCTGAGCATTGTGCCACCTGCATTGACCCTGCATTGTACTTCATGACGTCGGAGAGCCTGCAACTGATGGATCGCCAGTCACATAGCCTGGAGGAAGCCTGCAGGAGTGAGGGATTGGGTTAGCAAAAGTCCTTTTTACTGGTACCCTAGGCACAAATTAGCATTAAACTCATTGCAGTAGGGAGGACCCCCACTGCAAAGGGTATTTTTTCTTTATTCCAGAGTTCAGGACTTTAGTAAATATTTTTTTAAAGAAAATAGTTGGTTACAAAATGCAAAAAAGTCAATTTTATTTAGCAACTACACTTTCCTGGTTTTTCTGATTCAACCAGATATTTTTTTTTCTTACTTTGAAATCCTCTTGTATATGTCTCTCTGCAGGAATATTGTTTTTTGTTTTTTTTTAGAAACTATTTTGCACTTCTACCTTGACGACAGTTACTATATTTAGTCTTGTGATATTTTCTTCAAGCTTTTAGCTGAATGCTTTTATTGAATGGAACAAAGTTTAATGTCAAACGTTTATACCTGATTTAAGGTAAAGCCAGCAAAGGTCCTCAGATAAAGAGATATATCTTTTTACCCTGTGTTGTTTACAAATGTGTACGGGGGCGAGTTTTACTTGGAGTGGAGTCTGTTAGAGTTTCTGGGAGCGGCAAACTCCTAGTTGTGTGGACCACATTTTGGTGGTTGCTGGGCAGGTTCTTGATAATGCAGCTGGACCTGGCTGAGGGGGAGAGTGTCTCTTAGTTGAAGGAGAGACAGGCAGTATGTTGTGTACTAAGGTGTCATGTACTCATCTGCATTGCATGAGGCCTTTTACTGATTTTGTAACTATATATTTTACTATTTCATTTTTTTCTGAGCAAATCAGGCTTTAAGCTAACCATACACAATGCAATCCCCTTTAAAATTACCAGAACGAAGTAAGTGTAGGCTTACCTATGCTGTCCATTGAATGTGTATCCAATCCAGCCAACCCCACACTACATGTTTATGGGTAGATTTAAAAGCGTTTCTACAGTCAAATTGTAATATGTTGCCAGCTAAAAAGTGCACCCGTGCTCAGATTATATTCATTTAAATATTTACATATTCTTAACACAACATCCATGACCTCTCTAGCTGCATATACTGTGAAGAAAACTCTGTGAAGGCACTCTAACTTCCTTTAGGCGATCCCTTAAGACTCATCTCTTCAAGGAAGCCTATGACACCTCAAACTAACCACTCAACCATCACTTTCTCAATCAATGCATCCCCACACAGCTACAGGCATCACTTGCCCCTCCCTTTTAAAATTGTAAGCCCTCACGGGCAGGGCCCTCCTTACCATCTTGTCTTGAAATATATTGCGATTGTAATGTCTTCCTTATATTGTAAGGCGCTGCACAAACTGTTGGCGCTATATAAATGTTGAATAATAATTTATCCCCGAAAATAACAAAACTATAAAGTGAAGTTTCAATCCGTTCCTGGAAGCTTACAAGTACCTGCTGTGCATTTACATTTCAGGGTTGGCAGGTTCCAAAGATTCTATAGCAATGGAAAGTAAAAGGGGAAAAAGCCTCTGTGAATTTTAAAGATTAATTTCTCCACAATGCCTACAGCTACAGTGGTAAATAAGGGTTTGTTTTGTTACTTGTTCAGAAAGTGGTAATACCTTAAAGTGATATTAAACCCTCATTTTTTGTTTTTTTAAATCTCCACACGAGAGCCATTTGTGCTTTTGTATTTTTTTTTCATACTGCCCATTTTATTTAAATTTTCAAAGGGTGCAGCCAACTCCCCTCCTTTTTACGGGTATCTCTTTTGCCTAGCAGGTTGCAAAGGAGACACCTGTGAATGCGTGCTTGTGGCCAGGTATTGAGCCATGCTGTGTGTGTCCATTGGCACAGAGCTCAACAAGCCATGCCCCTTTTCCTGCCTCCTCCCTCATCTTAGTACCTTGACAGGCAGGTGCAGCAGGCTTTCACTGCC